AACACTAGGAGAAAATTATCTTCTATTTAAATGTTGCGTACCTTTAACAAAATTACACATTTGAAAATTTGTCTGTTGTGATAGTTTTTTTTAAGAATTAGAAACCTCAGCACTTCCTATTCAAGCTTCCAAATTCAACCTTCAGCATCCTTTCCACTTTGTAAATTAACCAGTAGGGGGCAGACGTGACCAAGCCATTTAATATGTTTCTATTTGCTATTATAAAGCAAATTGAATTTGAGTTACAGTATGCCCTTGAAGCCAAAGGTATATTTTTTTTAAAAATCGCATAGCAAACAACCAAAAGCAAAAACTCTGATAATTTGGCTTTGGTCTCTTTCATTTTTTTATGAGCTATCAAAGTCCAAGTCTTACCTTTGTTTTCAACTACAATAAAGTTAAATTTACAATAGAGAGACATAGTAACTTATCAGTTTGTTGTTATACAAGATTGGCAATGTCCATCAGCACCTGCGTTTCTAAGTGCCTGCACTGATAATCTAGCTGTATATATTATCTAATTTAGCTCTTACAACATATCTATGAATAAAGTGTTACCATCATCTGTAAGACAGGAAAATGAAAGACTTCTTAAAGTTCACATATTATGTAGCAGAGAGCCAGTTTTGTCTAATTCTAATGTTTGTATATGATATCACTTCTCATTTTTTCTGTTTTAATTATGAAACATATAATACATGCAGAAAAGTACATAAAATACAAATGTAGAACTTAAAAATAATTATAAAGCAAAGATCCATTTTACCACCACCCTGTTCAAAACAAAGGACATTTTTAGCTTCTGCAGAACCACTAGGTGAGCTCCTGACTCGTCACAACCCCAAACCCTTGAAAGGTAATTACCATCATTTCCTCTCTTTTATTCAGAACTTTTGTGAGATTTATACAAATCTATTTATAATGTATAGATCCATTCATGTCTTTATCCTTTTGGTCAATATTATATTTGCAATATTTACACTGATATATATAGTTATAGTTCTTTAATTTTCTTTGCTATATGAAATGAAGTACTCTATATAATATACCACAATTTATTATCTTTTCTACTATTGATGGGCATGTGGGTTGCTTCCAATTGGGATGCTACTACAAAAATTCTTATACATGTATTTTGATGCATACATAAAATGTACCCTTAAGATATGTAACTGAGAGTCAAAATGCTAGCTCATTGGGTCTGTCTGTATAGCATGTCCTTTACTGGAAACAATCCAAAAGTCTGTTACCAGGTGAATGGATAAAGAAATGTAGTATATTCACACAACGAAATACTACTCGGCAATAAAAAGAACTATTGTTACATGCAACAGCATGGTTGAATCTCAAAACATACTGAATAAATGAAGCCAGACGCAAAAGAGTATATTCTTTACAATTTCATGCATACAAATTCTAAAAAATGAAAAGTAACTTAAAGTGACAGAATACAGACCAGTGGTTGTCTGAGGACCGGAACAAGAGGCAAAATAAAGAGAATGGATTACAAAGTCACTCTGTCATTTTTTTGGGGGGGGGGGATAGAAATATTTGTAATCTTGACTGTCAAGACTATTTTACAGTGTATTCATATGTCAAACCTCACTCAATTTTTACACCTTAAATATGTGTACTTTATATGTCAATTAAATTTCAATAAAAGTAAAAAAGAACCAAATTATTTTAGTTTGGAACTTTATATATATAGGTAGATATAGATGATACAGATACAGAACATGTTTCTTCTGTACTGGATATTTGAATTTCCTTTTTCTTTAGAGCACCTTCGCAAGTCTTTGGTTCATTTTCTTTTATATTTTAGCTTTCTTCTAGACCTGTAGGATTTCTTTGTACACCCTTTTATTAGTTCTTTGCTAATATGTTCTCCCACATTTTGCTGTGTCTTTTCACTATCTTAATGGGATTTGTTGAATATAAAAGTTACTGATTTCAATGTAGCTGAATTTTCAATCTCTTCTGAAATTAAGCTTTTGTATCTAGTTTAAGAAATATGACTTAAGAAATATTCCCTTACCCCCGAGTTATAAAAGTACCCTTCTATTTTATCTTCTAAAAGCCTTTTAGCATTTAGGTGCTTAGTCCAACTAAAGTAGACTTTTGTGTATGATGTGAGGAATTCAGTTTTATTTTTCCCCATATGGATGACCAATTGACTAGACCACTTATGAATTGTCTGTTATTTTTCCATTCATCTGTAATGCTACCCTTATCATAGAACAAATGTCCAGACATGTTTAAGTCTGTTTCTGGACTCTCCATTCTGTTCCATTAATTTATTAATGCACCACAGTCAACTTACATTTTTTAATATGTCTCTTTATACCTGTTTTCCCACTTCATTCTTCAAGAACATCTTGACTATGTTTGACCCTTTACACTACCCTGTAAATTTTAGGATAATGTCAACTTCTTCATAATGCTACTTCTCATTTTCAAGCTATATTTACAAATTGAAATATAGTATGTTCCCATTATGGAATCTTTAATATTATACAAAATTGGGAAGACCCAAAATCATATGGTTTATTTCTATGTAGTTATAAATCAGAAAAATGCTTAATGCAACATATATGGAATGTATTATTGACCTATAAGGAGAGTATTAGAACTACCCATTAACATCACGATAATAGGATAGATGAGAATAAACTATCTTTACCTATGTGCAATAATATGAATCTAACAAATACATTATCTCATGAAAGAAGTCAGACCCAAAAGGGTAAATAGTGCATAATGTTATATAAGGGGTAAAAAAGGACAAGACTAATCTATGCAATTAGAAGTCAGAATAGTGGATATCCTAGGTAGCTAGACTGGGGCTTAAAGGGGACTTCTAGAATGTTCTGTTTCTTACCTGAGTTCTAGTTTCATGGGTTAAGTCTATCAAAATGTATTGAGCCATATAATTATGAACTGTGCACTTTTTATATGTATACGTTACTTTAATAAAAAAACTTTTTAAAAGTAATTATTAATCATTTTTAGACTTATTAATAAGACTTTCTTTATAATCTAAGTGAGAAACTAGATAGAAAACTTCCCTAATCCATAAGATAGATATTGAGGTGCCTCTCCAGCTCAGTTAATCCAACAGTGCCAGGTCCATGTTTAACTCCCTTCTTCTAATAACAAATCACTCTTCCTGGGAAAGTATGACTTAAGATGGGATGATCATATTTCTCTCTCTTCTGCAGATAAAGTGATTGTTCCTGGGGTAGGCATATGATTTGAACTAAATCAATTGCAGTCCTTTTTTGGATTATTTCACAGCGAAACTGGAAAAGAAAAGCCCTCTTCTTTTTTGGGTCACAAGACTGAATGAATGTCAACTTGAAGCTTGTATTCAAATGGCTTAAGATTTATCAAGAATGCTAGACTGAGAGAATGACAGCAATAGACACGAAGAAGGAACCAGAATGTGTGTGTGTGTGTGTGTGTGTGTGAGTGTGCGTGCATGGTATGAGAGAGAGAAAGAGAGAATAGCTTTTGAATCCCTAGATTCAACCATTTCTGAGGCAGTTAAGTTCAATCCCAGCCTTTTATATGGTTTGATTATTTTTTAGTCATGTAATTCAGGTTGAGGTTTGTCACTTGTAACTAAAATGGTCATAATTGACAGAAAAAATCAAACAATAGTCTTTGTCAGTTTTAATCCTCTCAAACTCTTACCAATATTGTCACTTCTCAGAAGAGGGTTTCAGATATTAAGCAAACAAAAAAATGGCTTTAGGTTAAAGAATATAACATTAACTGGAGACCCAAAGAGAAGATCAAATACTTTAGAAATAAAACAAGAAGACAAAATTAAGATGATGTAGGTGAAGACCAGAAGACGCTGACAAATTAAAATAAACTTTTCCAAAATCACACACACACACAAGTTAAATTCAGATTTTCTAAACAAAAACTTTCAATTTTCACAGACACAGAACATAAATCCAAAAAAATTATGATCATTTTTCCTCACCATTAATGGCTTTAAAGCCCACTGTTCCTCGTTAGTTGCAGGTATTATGATTTTATATATGTATCTTCATCCCAGACATAAATAAAACATGTCCCTTCTGTTTCAGCTACTTCTCTTTTTCCTGTGTTTTCTTATTTCTCAATTTTCAATCTTCTATGATGAGATAAATATTATTAGTATGTGAAGGGTTCACATATTTTTTCCTTCTTTTACACACTTGATTATTCCTTTTCTTTGATCTCTGAGAAAAGAGAAACAAAATATTCTTACTGGATAATCTAGGGAAAAGCAACCAGAAGGAGGAGGGACATTGGGCTACTGGGGGGTCTAAGCCAACCAGCCCTGACTTTGGGAGTGAATGCTCCATGAAGAAGAGAAGACATGGAGAAACCAAGATGGTGGAGTCAGTAGTAACCTGAGAGTTTCTTAGTAGTTTGCAAGTGAGAGAGAATAAAGAGGATATGATATTCTAATTTGATTTCTCACAAACTAAAATAAGATTTGAGTATAAATTGAAACTTCTGTCTGATCTTTGATTGAAACAGTACAGCATGTATTCTTGAGAGAATTTGAGAGAGAATACATGTAATGCTAAAATCTGAGGCCATAAATATGAAAGGCACATACATCTACCTAGCACTGACCACATGGCATTAAGAGAAACTCTGAGGCGGGAGACACGTCAAAAAAGTCAAGGCAAAAAAGGCAAAAATATAGGTCCCAAGAAAGCAGCCAGTAATCAAAGATCACATCTGATCAGGAACAATGCTGATCCAATCCATTTCTGGGTCACAAGCAAAGAAGCATATTTTTTGAGAGAAGAGGGCAAGGATACAACTTGGGGTGTTCAGACAGTAGAAATGACAGAGGTGCATCATTTCAAAGATTCTATCTTAAGACATGGGGGAAAGAGAAGTAGTGCAAATTCTCTAAGATGTACCCTAAGTGTGGGAAATCAGGAAATGTTAGGGGAAAAAAACACATCCAGCCAGTTAATTAAAGGGGAGGACTACTCACAAGACAGCGACCTACAGTGACACAGTGAACTGCCATGTACCCAATAGATCCAAGCAGGAATAGCCATACAGGACACCTTCAAGTGTCGATACCACCAAATGCATCTACCTGCTTTCTCAAGAGGCAAATCCTCTAAGAAGTCATCTGCAGCCCACAGTGTCTGTCTCAGTGCAGAGAGGATCAGAATGTCTTTATGGGGTCCAACTCCCACTCTGAAGTGTAATTACTAACCACCAAGATGTCAGAAAGAGCAAATCCAAGTTCTCTGTGGACGGTCTCTAACTGCAATATAGAAACAGTGACAAAGACTATTTTAGGTCAATATATATTGTGAAAGCAATAACAAAAAGCAGGAGCTTGGCAATAGTATTCCTATTGGGGAAAATGAAGATAGAGATCTGATCCCATAAATACTTTCTTAAAGAGCTTCACAAGTCAATCTCCAATATCACTATGAATTTTCATCAAGAATGCACATAATAGATTCCATATGATTTAGAAATGAAAGGTAACTAATAGTTCCATATAGATTACTTTGAAACTGAAGCATTTTTAATACCCTTATGCTAGAATCTGTAATTTCCCTGTTTCCTATTAAGAGTTATTCTCATGATTAGTCAAATTTACTAGACTAGTTTAATAATGATATTTTAATTCTTGCTTAGACTACTTTATCTGGGAATGACACTGTCTGGGTTCAAAATAGGGCTCTGTTATTTCTCGTCACTGTCAAAAACACTGGCAAATGCTTTACTCTCTATGCTTTTGTTTCTTCATCTATAAAATGTGGTAATGACACAAGGTTGTTGTAAGTATTGAATAAGAAAATTTATCACATATTTAGTGCTCAACAAATACTAGCTATCATTACATCTTCCCAACTGGTATTCCCAAGTCCAGGTTCCTTTTGACTCAATTCATTCTGCATGTAGGTAGCAGATTAATTTTTGTGAAGCTTCAGTTTGGTTATATCACTACTTTTTATAGCAGCATTATCTATAATAGCCAAATTATGGAAACAGCCCAAGTGTCCATCGACTGATGAATGGATAAAGAAGATGTGGTGTGTGTGTGTGTGTGTATATATATATAATGGAATATTACTCAGCCATCAAAAAGAATGAAATCTTGCCATTTGCAACAATATGGATGGAGCTAGAGAGTATTATGCTAAGTGAAATAAGTCAGAGAAAGACAAATACCATATGATTTCACTCATATGTGGAATTTAAGAAACCAATGAGCAAAGGGTAAAAAAAAGAGAGACAGAGAGAGAGAGAGACAAACTAAGAGATAAACTCTGAACTATAGAGAACAAACTGAAGGTTACCAGAGAGGAAGGGGTGGGAGGGATGGGGGAAACAGGTGATGGGGATTAAGGAGGGCACTTGTTGTGATGAGCACTGGGTGATATATGGATATGTTGAATCACTATATTATACACTTGAAACTAATATTGCACTGTATGTTAACTAACTGGAATTTAAATAAAAACTTAAGAGAAAAAAATTGCTATGATTCCCCATAATGCACCTAATTAAGTAAAGTCACCTCATGCAAATATAACTTCTCTATCTCCCCCTACAAAGATTCAGCCCTCCACTAAACTGAATGACCCCATGCTTCCCACTCACACTGCCTCTTCCTACACTGAGGTATTGACTTAGGCTATCCTCATAGCCTGAATTTTTTCCGCATTTTGTCTCTTCACCTCCTGAAATCCTCCTCCTCTTTGAAAGCTATTTCCCAGTGACACTCCAGGAATGAAATCTTCCCCATCCCCTTTAACACAATATTTTCCTCCTCTAAACTTTTTTTTTAAAGATTTTATTTATTTATTTGACATAGAGATAGAGCCAGAGAGCACAAGAGGAGAGAACAGCAGAGGAAGAGGGAGAAGCAGGCTCCTCACTGAGCAGGGAGCCTGACGCAGGGCTCGATCCCGGGACCCTGGGATCATGACCCGAGCCAAAGGAGACGCTCAACCATCTGAGCCACCCGAGCTCCCCACCTCCTCTAAACTTTTGATTTTGAGTCCCTTCGTGAGATTTATCATACTCATACTCAGTCGATTCTTTCCTATCCCACTCCCCCCATCCCCTCACCTCCACTAATAAAATTATAAGCTTTTGAGTGCAGAGAAATTGTTTTAGTTTTCTGCGTATCTGGTTAGAGACTATCACACTGACTCAATTATGACAGGCAATCAATAAATATTTGTTGAATTGAACCTATTTGGGTTAAATTATAATGAATGGAATGATCTGTGTCCTTGTAAAGATGAATATATATTTAATTTTTAAATCTTGAGACATAAGTCTGGATTACCCAAGCAATTGTTTTAATTAAGTTCAGTAGGTGTCCATTTTTATTTTTATTCACAGTAATATCATGTGATTATAGTGACATATCCCAGAAAATGTGTCTACAAAGAGGAACATCATTCATCACCTTGAGCTTCACAGGCATACATCTGTATATGTCTCTAAGGTCACCTCTTGTAATCAGATCCATTCTATCCACATGAGTGAGCAAAACCCCATGTGCTACACCTAGGCCGAACAGATACATGTCACTTTGATCATTAAAGACAGTATCAGTAAGAAAGAAAGAAGAAAAAGAAAGAAAGAAGAAAGAAAGAAAGAAAGAAAGAAAGAAAGAAAGAAAGAAAGAAAGAAAGAAAGAAAGAAAGAAAGACAGCATCAGTATGTTTTAGTTAATTAGCTATAAATTATGCAACAGGATATCTATGGAGCAATTTCAGAGATTTGGGGAGGCCCACCACCCCTAAAAATAGCCCGCTCAAGTACTCATCAGGACCTGGAATTCGTCTGACATAGGAAATTCCCTTCATTGCTTTCCATGGTAAGAAATGAGGCTTCAAATGAAGCCACCTCTTGGAAGAGATAGCTAAAGAGAAAACTATTGATGTTACAATATTGTTGATTGGTCTTCTGTCCTGTCCAAACAGTTGTTTTTATGCAGACTAGAGAAAAGAGATCTCATAAACAAGATGAGGGAGAAGAATCCTCAAGAAGGAAATAGCATGTGTCAAAGCATCACGAATACATTGCTCTTCTGTCACAAAGTTAACAGGCAGCTCCCTGCACCCCTCCCTGGCAAAATTTCAAATTTCAGTGAGCAAGTAAATCACTCCATGCTTCTAACTTAACCAAAGTTGTGATAAACTGGCTCTCTCCCAGACAGAAAGGGGAATAAAGCCAAGAAAAGCCAGTATGACAGAAGAGTCTTTTGGATGTTTTAATTCTTTGTAAAATAAAATATCAAAAAGGAACAAATGACCTTGAACAAGTATAGTTCAAGAAAATAAATGGTAATGCATTAAATTAGACTAGTATCTGCTGTTGTCAATAGTGAGCAAAAACAAGCACTTTAAATATCAGTTATAATTTCTCAATGATTAGCCCAATCATACCTGGTATCTGTCAGAAATGTGGCCTTTTAAGATGTAGACTATGTCATCCACGCACCCTTTTTCCTTCTCACCCAGCCCCATTGAGTCACACAGAATAAACAGTAGGGTGTTGCCATCCTTCAAATCCTTAATGGAATATGTCCTGTACTACAAGAGGAGAAAAAAAGCAATTTTAAGAGTACATTTTTTTAATTGCAAATGGAGATAAAGTCTACGTGGAATGAAGTCCATCAGCAAAAGACTTTTCAAAACTAATTAACTTGAACAAAGAAGCAAAGGCTGAGTGACCTTGAATGGACATACCTTGTCAGATACTCCAGTTGTATCAGAGCCCACCAGAGCCTGGTGTGTCACATGGCCTTGGAAAACAGATTTTACCGAGTTGAAAAAGCTAGACTTCCCAGCCCCATTTGGACCCAGGAGCAGAATCTGCTTTGGTGAACGAGGTCTTTATGTGGTTTGTAAGTTTTCATGTCAAACAATAATCTCTTGTGGAGTCTGTTTAGACAGGACAATTTTAAAAATTGACCGAGGGTAGATCACAAGAGCTTACCATAAGTTTTCCTAGAATTCGTTTTCTTTTCTTATATGTTATTATTTATTTTTGATTAGCAACTTGCTTTCCTGTTAAAAGGACAAGCAACTATCCTACTTCAAAACCTACTATAAAAGAAGAAAAAAGCAAAAATAACACTTAAAACAGAGCCAATCAGACATAAAACCTTCCAGATTTAAGCAACCAGACACATATAAACCTTGTAATAAATATGAACTGTGTTAAGTATGAAGATAACTTATTAATAATAAACTTCAAAAAGCACAACTTCACATGTGACTTTTGAAGTTTATGGAAGTAGATAATTTCCAACATGTTCTTGAAGTTCATGTAAGTATTCTCCACCTACCAGCCACCCCTTCCAAAGCAATTCCCTAAAGTAGTTGAAACGGTAACTTCAAGATGTCTAAGCAAAAATGTAGACATGCAGCCAAATAATTATTTTCCTTCAAGTATATAAAAACATTAGGAATGTTTTCCCTTTACTCAGAGTTCTTTCTGTTTTAACATTGGTATTATCAAATAGTCTTATGATTATAAATATAATTATAGTTTATTCTTGATGATCCACAAGTTATGTTATAATCTGTGCTACCAATTTGACAGAACCTATAAAAGAATAAGTCTAAGGTAATAAACAGAATAACAGAAGATTAAAAACATTGACTTACTGAGTAATCCCTTTCATGATTCTTTCGTCCAAGAAATATAGGGAAATAATCAAGAAAAATGAAAAGTACAAGTTGTTGAATGACTGGCTAACTGAATGTCAATGCAGTCACTAGGGAAAAATACAGAAATAGCTTTTCCATGACAACAGCACAGTATAAGGAAAGCAAGTGGAGAAAATTCTGGCAAATCTCCTTAACATCTCACGTGGAGAATCTAGAGCTAGAGGCAAGATGGGCAAGGTAAAACTAGATTGTCCACAGATCTCTTCTCACCCAACTACTCAGCAGTAGTATGTGGCTTGCTCCAACATGGGCAATGAGAACTGGGGTCCTTTCTGAATCAGAGAAGCAAGGCATAAAGGCGTGGACAGGCCAGGGAAAAACTTAAAACAGTTCCTCTCCATAATCCAAGAGGTCTGAAAGGGATAAGGTACAGATACATACAAACAAGAAAAAAACCACAAGCACCAAATTTTCTCCAAAACCTACATCTACAATTGGGGTTCCTGGAACTTCCAGCCCAGTTGATTTTCTTTCTGGCTCCAAAGAGAATGTAGGACTCATCCCTCACCCAATCAGAGCACAGTGAGTGGTTCAGGGGAGGCCTGAGGACTTTATGTGAACCAATGAGACTCAGGCCCAGAATGACTTACTTCCTGAGAAGAAGAGACACTCTTTGGTGGTGGATTTAAAACTGAAAGGATCAGCTGCAGGGTGCCTGGGTGGCTCAGTGGGTTGAGTGACCAACTCTTGGTTTCTGTTCAGGTCATGATCTCCCAGTAGTGGGATTGAGCCCAGGTCAGGCTCTGTGCCCCGCGTTGGGCTCCATGCTCAGCATTGGGTCTGCTGTGGATTCTCTCTCCCTCTCCTCCCCCCACTCACTCACTCAGGCTCTCTCTCTAAAATAAATACATGATAAATAAAATCTTAAAAAAAAAAAAACCTGAAAGGATCAGGTGTAGTGATGCTGGCAATTCTCTACACTACAAAAGAATACTATGTGAAACATTTAAAAATATGGCTATACATGTGGAAAGAAAACCTCTTTAAATAACCGAAAGTAAAAATACTAAAGACTACATACAATGACTATAATAAAATGAGAAAAGAATAAGTGTAAACAAAGAGAAAAGCAACCTCTTGGAATTTTTCAAAGAACTTCTTAACTTTAACATCCAAAAGGAAATTAAAAATCAAAATTGTAAATATAAAGAAAATAACAATAATATAAACACTTTATATCAACCTTGTGATAAAAGTACACTTGGCTAATAACGAGAAAGAAGGAAAGTTTTGAAAATAGAAAATAGAAACAGAAAAGAATATAGAAACAAATCTTAGAAATATAAGAGGGAATTAACAAAAATACAAGACAGATTTTATAAATTGAAAATAGGATAAATTAATATAGTAATTGGTTTAAACTAAAAATAAATAAATTACTGACTAGTCTAATCAAAAAAAACCAAATTCACAAAATGTCATGCCACAGTTCACATACCAGAATGGCTACCTATTGTAACGAAAAGTGCTGGGAAAACTTTAAAAGTGACAGAAACTCTCATGCACTGCTCTGGCAGTGGAAATTGGTATGGCTACATTGGAAAGCTTTGTCAGTATCCACTGAAGCTGAACATACACAAATCCGATGACCCAGAAATTTTATATTTATATTCGTCAAAAAATATGAATGTGTGAACCAAAACACATGTACAAGAAGGCTTATAGCACTATTATTTGTAATAGCCCCCAACTGGAAAACTCAAATGTCCACCAACAGTAATTTTATGTAAAAAAAAAAAAAAAAAAAGCAGGTTTTTGTTTTTTTAAAATAGCGCCTGGGTGGCTCAGTCAGTTAAGTGTCTGACTCTTGATCTCGGCTCAGGTCTTGATCTCACAGTCTTGAGTTCAAGCCCCGAGTTGGGCTCCACACTGGGCATGGAGCCTACTTTAAAAAAAAAAAAAAAAAGTATGACGGAATCATTATACTGGCATCCTATATGACAATGAAAATGAACAAATGACTCCAACACACATAATATGGATGAATCAGTAGGGAGGTAGGGAGCTAAAGCAGCTCTCCTGAGATGCATTCACTCACTTTACCAAGTAACACTCAGGGAAAAAAAGAAAAATGATCCAGCCTAATTTCTTTGAAAATATGTTAATGATCTTATCTCCAGCTAAATAGACTAATGATATTTCCTACAAGGAAAGTACTTATCTCTTGAATGTCCTTAACAGGATGCTCCTGGCTAAGGATTACTTAGAATAAATAAATATAGCTTCTATGGATTTATGAGGCATGTCTTCATGGGAATTGTCATGTGAGCTGATTGTCTTAGTCGGCTCAGGCTGCCATACAAAATACCATGAACTGGGACAACAGAAATTTATTTCTCACAGTTCTGGAAGCTGAGAAGTCCAAGATCACTGTGCAGCAAAGTAGATTTCATCCTGAAACCTCTTCTCTTTCCTGGCAGGTGGCTGCCATCTCATTGTGTTCTCCCATGACCCCTCCTTGTATGTTCGTGGGGAGAGTGTGAGCTCTCTGGTGTCCCTTCTTATATGAACGCTTATCCTATTGAATTAAGGCCCCACTCTTATGACCTCATTTAACCTTAATTACTTCCTTAGAGGCCCCATCTCCAAGTATAGTCACATTGGGGATTAGGGCTTCAACATATGAGTTTGGGGTGGGGGGAGCACAGTCTATAGCACTGACATATAAACGTTCCATAACGTAACCACTCTTCAATACGTAAGGTGGCCCACAAACTTCATAAAACAATCCTGCCTGTTCTTTTATACAGAAAGCATATGTCTAATATGCAAAGGAAGGACCTAGGAGCCACAAAGAATAATCTTGTACCCTTTCTGCCTTCTCTGAGATTTCTGATTGCCTTTATCCTTGAAATGATTAGTCAAACCTAATACTGCGTAAGATATCTGATTTGTAGAGGTCTGATTTTATAATCCACTCCCTTGTTTAGCTCAATCCCTCAAACGTAATATTGAATGTAAGAGGTCAGACACCCAAGAGTACATATTTTGATATGATTCCATTTATATAGAATTCAAAAAGAAGAAGTTATTAATGTCGACACAAGCCAAAGTAATAGTTATCTTTGGCTGGTAATAACCAGGAAGAATCAGCAAGGAGTCTTTTGAAATGATGATAATAATCTATTTCTTCATTCAAGTAGTAGCTATATTAATATGTGTCTAATTTATAAAAGTTTGTCAATTGGTACATTTATCAATTGTGCATTTCTCTGTTTATGTGTTATACTTCAATAAAAAGTTTCCTTAACTGATCCAGGATTGTCAACATGATGACATATCCAAGTAAATTGACCAGACATCAACAAAAATTTTTTTAGATGTTTGGGGCAGCCAGGAAGAGAGATCAAATCACTCAAAGGGAAAAAATTAAAATAAATAAGTAAGTCTGGCCCTAGGTTTTCCACAACAACATCAATCCTGTAGAAACATTACAAAATCCCCCAAAGAATTACATACTCTGATGATCATTCAAGTATAAAGACCACAGACAAGGAGTTTGGAACATGAAAATACTCAGGGGATATTATTCCTAGGGTCCCTTCCTTTAAATGGTTAGACATAAATAACTATTTCAGAGAAGAAATGTAAATGGCCAATACACATAGACTTGCTAGTTATCAGGAATAAGCAAAGAAGAAAATGAGAAACCATCTTTTGACCATCAAATTGCAAATATTCTAAAGTTTGGTAATATCAAATATTGGCAAGAAGATAAGGGAATAGGCATTTCTATAACACTCTTGGGAAAGTATAAAAGAAGTATTTTTGTGCACAGTTATATTCACAAATACATTACAAAAGCATTGTTTATAACAGCAAATATTGGAAACAATGTCCTTTAGCAGAAAAATAAGTAAATTCATTTTGGTCTTTTAATATAATGGATACAATGGGAAACTTCAGGATCTAGTACCAATCAAGAGAAGTTTGAGCTTTGGTTTCATTCCAAGAGAATCTCACAATCTAAGTTTGCTGCCCCTTTCTCTCTCTCTCTCTCTCTCCCCCTTCTCCTTCTACCTTTTCTCCCCCTCCCCTACCCCTTCCCCCACACAAACACACTCCAGAAAACTCTATATATGCTACTTTTGACCACGGTTGGGTCTCAGCAAACATGTGTGGCCAGGTTTCAGTCTTGGTCACCCAGAGATAAGGACATTCTTCCTTAAAGAGATGGGTTGCCTCAAATCCGCCAAATATTCAGGAGAGAGCTCTATATAAGATTATCAGATTAAATCTATCTTCACAATAAAAAACTTCACATTCTTCAAAGGAAATAGATTGATTTTGAAGTAGTCCAAGTTCTTTAATTGCATCTAAGTTCATAGTCACTTTTTTTTGCTTCAGATTAAGGAGGAATTTGAAACCATCCCACCCTTTATGATATTCATGAAGAAATATAGACGGTGAATATGTTCCTATATTGCATTCTGAAATTTCATTCTCTTGAAAGGCAAGAAGGACAATGGGAACTTTGTCATCTTTCTTGTAACTCTCTTTTATATAGGCCCCCAAAACACAATGTCCACCATAAATCACCATCACAGTAGGCCCTTGGTCACAGCATTTCTGTCAAAATTATGTCCAGAGAATTCATGGACATTAGGTTTATAGAGAAGGGTAAATTATTTTCCTCCAAAATAATTTTGCAGCTTCTTTTCTTGCATCCCCGTCAAACGAGGTGTCACTGCCATGCTTCTCAATCTAGGAGAAAATCAAATATATTTTCCATTAAATATTGAAAAACAGGGAACATATACTGTCACAAAGCTTGCATTTGTGCCTCTTACTTACTCTACGTTACACATAAGATGAGTAAAGAGAGGATGAGCAGATAGCATAAAAAATCATTAACTAGTTTTTCATTCTATATGATTTTTTTTTAATTAAAAAGGAAGACTACTATTTGCAAGTACCTAGGAAAAGTGGAAAGCAGCAAGTCACTTACCTGTTTGTAGAACCTGTACAAGGACTGAGGCTGAGTGTAGCTGCTCTGTCTGGACAGCTAAGCAGACACAGAAATAGGCACATAAATTTCTTCAGCAACTTCCAGGGTTCAGGGACTCCGAGAAAAGGAGACTGAACCGTAGTAAAGGCCCAGCCCACGTGGCAGAGTGCCAGCCTCCTCCTGCCAGGGAACAGGAACTGAACCAGTTAAATTTTCACAGTCGAATCAAATAAAAATATTAGGAGAATCAAAGAATTGAAGTCAGAGAGAAGAAAACCTCACAGCTCACTAGATTTTTAAGTGACTTCTTTAAAGAAAAATTCAGTTTCTGTATGTTGAAATACAAAAAAACTGCTGTCAATTCCAACTCCAGGACACATGCCTCAAATTCATCCACTTCTCTGCTATCAACTTACTCTCATCAGGGTCCTCTGTTTTCTGTGCTGCTGGGGGTCAGGCCGATTTCAGCAAAAACCCACAGATTTCTGACTAGCGATGACAGAGGAGCCGCAATCCCAAACAGAGAATCAACTGAGGTAAAACAGAAGGCTTTTGGAGATCAGCAAGTGTTGAGGATCATGTCACCACCATCTGCACACCCTGCCATGGTCAGGTCCTCCCACTGTTCCCTGACTTAAAAGAGCAGGAGATTCTTTCTCATTTTGCAGACCATCTCAAGAACTCAGACTGAAGCAGGAGGGCCTAACATCACTCGGCAAACAGCCGTCACTTCACTAAGGAAACCAGGAATCTTCATGTTTGACGAATTGCTTGTATCATCAATGGAATGGAAATAAAAAAGGCTTAGCTCCTTAATAATAAAGAAACAAGACATGGAGATGGTAGAAGAGATCATTTGGTAGTCTGTACTTAGCTCATCTTCTTCTAAGAGAGCCTGTAGAATTGGCATTGAAGACACAGTTTCAAACCTGCCTCTCATTCCTCTACACACACAAATAATCCAATAATTCAGGTAGCCCTTGCTCATAAATGGTAGCATTTGAATAAACAAGCACCTTCCAGAAATTAATATTCCCAGCTCTCCCTTCCTTGAGCTTTTGGAAGACACCAGCCCCTCACATGAGCTCAGAGGTGTGATAGGTCCCATCTAAAAACCTGTGTTGGAGGGCGCCTGGGTGGTTCAGTTGGTTAGTTGTCCGAGGCTTGATTTCGGCTCAGGTCATGATCTCAGGGTGGTGAGATGAAGCCCCACATGGGGCTCCACGCAGGGCATGGAGCCTACTTATGATTCTCTCTCTCTCTCTCTCCCCCTCCTCCCTGCTTGTGCATGCGCATTCTCTCTCTCTCTCAAAAGAAATCAATTGTTTTAATAACTTTGACAATTATATTTACACACCATTATTTTTTTTTTTTTAAGATTTTATTTATTTATTTGACAGAGAGAGACACAGCGAGAGAAGGAACACAAGCAGGGGGAATGGGAGAGGGAGAAGCAGGCTTCCCACGGAGCAGAGAGCCCGATGCGGGGCTTGATCCCAGGGCCCTGGGATCATGACCTGAGCCGAAGGTAGACGCCCAATGACTGAGCCACCCAGGCGCCCCCACACCATTATTTAACATAGCTTGTTCTTCTTCTTTGCCATCTCCACCCCCATTCCTACAATCTCTACCTGCAGTTTTGCTTCCACTGTCATTCCTATCCTGGAGTCTAGAACAGCTCAAATCCATTGTGTGAGCTGTGTTGAGAAAGCAGTGGAGGGGCATGCAACTGGATATTGGCCATAATCCTAATTCCATTGTCTGGTTGACCCCAGTGGTCTGCATTTTCTCCAACTCAGAACAAGATTTTGCAAAGATTTGCAGCTAGTATGCAAGTTTCCATCTTGCTCAGATTGATGGCAAAAATCAGATCTACTTAAATCTGCTCTCTATAAATTGGCCCAGAGACTCACCACATTTGGGATGGGATTTGGGAACTTCCAAATTCTCCCAGCTTCTACAACACCAATGAAGACTTCAATCAGCTATGCTATCAAGTAACTACTTTAGCATCAGATTGAGTTTGGTCACTTCAAGATGATTACTCGTCAGCTGGTCTCTGAAGCATCTGGGGGCTTTCTTGAGTCTCTCAATCAATTTTGTTTTATTCAATATGAACTTGCATTTTTTATGAAAAAGCAACATATAATCTTTAAATTTAGCTTTCTAAAAAAGACACAGACTTACACATCACCCACCATAATACTCCTCTCAGTATTTTATTAAATAGATGGATGCTGGCTGAATTTGTACAATACTACAAACTTTTGTCAGAAACAGCCACTTTGACTTTATTTTTTTTCCAGCTTTATTAAGATATAATTGATACAAACAGACTCTTACCTACAGAGAACTGATGGTTGCTGGAGAGGAGGTGGGCAGGGGGACGGGTTAAATGGGTGATGGGGAGTAGAAGGGCACTTGTTGTGATGATCACTGGGTGTTATATGTAAGTGATGAATCACTAAATCCTACTCCTGAAACTCATCGTACACTATATGTTAACTAACTGGAATTTAAATGAAAACTTGAAGCTACCAAAAAAAATTACTTAAAATAAAAATAAAAATAAATAAATAAGGCTCAAGAAAGTTGATTGTTTTCAGACTTCATGTGTTACTCAAGAACCAGTGGATTTTAATACCAAATAAATAAATAAAAATCCCCAGAAAAAAAAAAGATATAATTGATATATAAAATTGTGTAAGTTTAAGGTATTCAATGCAATGATTTGACACATGTATATATTGCAAAATGGTTAGCACCATAAGGTTAGTTAACACATCCATTACCTCAAATAATTACCTTTTTTGTACATGCAGTGAGAACATTTAGGATCTACTCTCCTAGCAACTTTCGAATATATAATACTGCATTGTTAACTACTCTGTTTCTATGAGTTTGGCTTTCTAAGATTTCACATATAAGTGAGATCATGCAGTATTTGTCTTTCTCTGACTTATTTCCCTTAGCATATGCCCCCAAGGTCCATCCATGTTGTCTCAAATAGCAGAATTTCCTTTTTATGGTGGAATAATATTCCTGTGTGTGTGTGTGTGTAAATGTATATACCAAATTTTCTTTATCCATTCCTCTGTCAATAGACACACTTAAATTCAAAACATCACTTTTTAGTGCCACAACCCCCCCCACCCACCCACCCACCACACAAAGTCTCTAGTATTGATGCTTAAATTGTCTACAACATCCCTCTCACTTTAGGTGATATTCTACCTCCCACTACATTTATGCTTTATCCACTATGTCCCTTAGCACTGTTTTGCTAAAAAATAGTGACTTTGGCTGGACTGTACTTCTAGCTCAAATTTAAATTATGTAAACTTTCAAAAATCCTGGATGGCCTCTGAAGTGTGGCAAAGTGGTAAGTCCTACTGTTAGGATGGTAAAGAAAGATCAGCAGAATCCTCAAAGTCAGGAAAGGCCCTTTCCCAGATAAAAGAGAAGTCTCTCCCTTTTTGAGGCACCCCTCACCAATCCTTTCCAGCCTAAACATTTAACTCCATTAAATGTTTAATTATTCCTAAAGTAGTACAGCATTAGAGGATTAGGAATTGTGACATCCTTTACCTAACACTGTCCTTTGTAATACAAAAAGGGAAATTTAGCCTCAATATTTATACTCTCAAATGGTATTGATTCACCTGGACAGTCCCTCATTGTTTCTCTCTCTTGGTCTCTCCATTACTCCTCTTCCTTTTGAGGTCTCCATCTCCTGCATGAGAGTATTCTACACTACCCCTTCAAACAGAGTAAAGTAGTTCCACCTTGAATCTAATTTGGCATCTAGCAAAACCTTACTCTGCCCAGATTTTTGCTGACTCCACCTGGAGATTGATGAGTTATGGCCCTTATAGGAGGTGAAGCACAGTGGTGGGTCTTCAATCACCTTCAGTCTTCTAATCAACAATGGTTGTGGCTTGTTTTTATCATGGATTACATGGAGACAAATACATCTTACTTTTTGGACTTGTTGCTCCCCACATCCATTTCATAATCATCCTGGCAGGAACTCTACTTTTGTTTCCAATATCTACTTCTGGCTCTACTCTTCAGTATCTGTGACCATTCTACTCCTTTCTTTTAAAGACCCCACCCATCTCTTCCACTGAATCATGGCTCCTGAACATTCATTGGAGCACAGCTTTACCTGTAGCTTTGCTTTAGGAAATAGTTCTTTTTCCATAACTATATCTAAGGAATTCTTGCCCTCATCATACCCAGGGCTTCCCAAAGAAGACAATAATTCTGACTAAAAGTACATTAGATGGCTTTAATATAGATAACTATTGAACCAAAGCATATTCACTTGAAAAATACTAAGAAATTGGGAGAAGAGAGTTAGGGTTTTAGGGGGAAAACCTAAAACTTATCTTCTGAAATTCTTTTTTTTTATTATTAATGGTCCTAACCTCTACAGCTACCCAGAGGAATTTAAAATCATTTGGGGGCACTTGTATAAGATAACCTTCTTATTGACTTGCACTTGTAACCTCATTTGATCACTCTACTTGAGAAACATGGCTAGGATGGTTTGGAATTCAATTAATGAAAATCAGGTATGGGTTCATTAAGGGAAGAAACTTTGTTTTTTCACAGAAATAACATGTAAGTCCTTAAGAAATATTTGTTCTTTTTAATTAGTTTAAATTCATATCTTCATCCAGAGATAAGTGAAACATTCTCCCTCCTCTATGTTCATTTCTTCTCTCCAGTATTTCATTCTCTTCCAGTCTTCCCATCTATAAGGAGAAAAATTTTCAGTACATGTTATCAGTCTGGGAAAGTTGGGAGGGATGCATAATGGCAGGCATGCTTGCTCGCTATTAGGCGCTGTGCTAAGTTCTGTTAATACAAAGGTATGTAAAATCCAAACCCTGCTTCTTAAAGAACTCACAATCTAGGGAAGTGGATATCCATGTAACCATTTTTAAATTGTTATTCAAAGTATTAGTACTCACATAGAGTTCTAAATAAAGTGCTAAAGACAAATAAGTAAGGGGATAGTCAATTTTGCTGGGAAGGTTGAGAAAAATGTCACAGAAATTAAAATCTCAAATGGCGGTTTGCGGTAGGGCATATCTTGGCCCACCACTGCTCAGGGTTGACCTTTGAGCTTGAGATATGACTGATCCTAGAAGAAACCATCAGTTAGATGCTGTCAGGGACCAAAGGCAAAACATGAATGAAAGCAGAAGTCATAAGGAGGCTGTCAGCAGAGACTGACTCTCATCGGGGCCTGCCAATCCAGGATTGGGCCAAGTATCAGAACCAAGGCAACTGATGTAACATGGAGAGCTGGAACATTCCTACAATTTTGTCTGAAAACAAAATAAAAAAATAGAAACAAAGCACATATCCTAACATGGCTGTCAGGTCTAGAGCAAGCTGATGGGCATCAGCCATCCAGTGAGGTAGAACTCTGGGATTTTCACAAAGCACCATGCTTTATGAAAGGGGCATAAAGGGGCCAGATCACCTGTTTCCTCAAGGCAAGTCCTCAAAGAAGTCCTCTGCTACCTGTAACATCTGCCTCAGCACAAAGAGGATCTGAGAGTCCTTTAAAGGGTCCAGCTCCCACTCTGATGTATAATTTTCAACCACAAAGGTATTATAAATAGGAACATTTAGCATTTTGCTGACATGCATTATCTGTGGAAAAGTTAATAAGCATAACTCATATCTGAAAATTGACTGAATTCAAATATAATTCAAGAAAGAAACTGAAAAAGCAATAGCTTGATAAGTAGTTCTCTTCTGAATATAATTATAATGTAAATAATTATTGTTTTAAAGTGGGACATAAACTTGAATTAACCAAGCAATTGATCCATGTCTTCATTTACCTGTGAATATGTAGTATGAGTGCGCACGCACGCACACACACACACATACACACACTATAACACTATTACAATAATGCCTAGTTAGAAATCTATTCTTTACCTGGCTTTGGGAAGTCATAGGTTTATCCATGTTTAAAAAGTTGTCCTGAAGAAATTCACTGCAATTGGTCGCTTTAGTAAGCAAGAGGACACATGCTGTAACTATATCAAAGAGATAAATCAGGTCTTTTGTATCATAAACAGCCAGGTTTCAACACGGTAATTAAGTATGAGTGAAAGCAGCTCTCCTAAAGAATGAAATAACCCTAGTAAATGTCAGTATGGAACCCGAGGTTCTGCTAATAGGGGAAATGATCTTTTTCTTCCAGCATGAGAGATCATTTCTAAATGCAACTAAATTCACACTGCATTACAATCATCTACTATTCCAAATAGTGTGTTTTAAAGTGATCAGGGGGAGCAGGGGGAAAGTGGTTGCTGGACACTAAGGACTGAAAAAGAACCGCAGAAATTGAGGAAGGTTATGTGTTTTTGTAAAAGCAAAGCACACTGATTTCACAGTTCTGTTAAAGACCTCTTGTCCTCTCCCAGTTGGCTTCTAACCGAATCAAAGTTCTGCTTTACTAACAAATGCTTCCCCAGAAAAAAATATAAAACTGAGATTTCCAAATGCCATTCAAGGATACCCCTGAGAGACTTCTTTACCAGAGCTTTTAGTATTTTCCCTTTACATAAATCTTGTGTTTGTGATCCCTATTACTAAATGGTTGCTTTTATCATCTTCCTTTCATCCAAGTCCCAGAGGAATAACTAGCAAGGTTGGCCAATTAAATAAAACCTGGTTTGTATAGAAGGCAGTTCTCAATCAACACATATAATTTCTTTTCAACTTCTGCTAAAATGGAATTCTTCTCTTTCAGAATTAATGCAATGTCTTCTTAAAGGCTCTAAATCAGCCCAGTTAGATGAACAAAGCCTTGCCACCCAGCATGGGGTGTGGCCAGATGTCCTTGAAAAACATCATTTCAAACCTTAGCACTTTGTAACTCAGTCTTATCCTAAACCCACCATAATTTCAGAGCTGTTACATGCTTATACATGTCCCTGACTTCGCATGGTTCAATGTAAAATTTTTTGACCTCACAATGGTGCAAAAGCATTATGAATTCGGTATAAACCACACTTCCAAATTTTGAATTTTGATCTTTTCTGGGGCTAGCGATATGCAGTATGGTATTTCTCAGTCAGCTGCATGACCACAGGGTAAACAACATAAACTTACAACCATTCCATACTATACAACCATTCTCTTTCTCATTTTTACTACAGCATTCAATAAATTACATGAGACCCTCAACACTTTATTATAAAATAGGCTTTGCGTTACATGATTTTTCCAGCTACAGGCTAATGTATGTGTTCCCAGCATGTTTAAGATAGGCTACGCTAAGCTACAATTTTGGTAGGTTAGGTGTATTAAACACATTTTCAAGTTACAATAAGCCCATTGTAAATTGAAGTAGATCTGTATATGCTTATATACTTACATTGAGTACATCTAATGTTTATTACAATATTTAGATTCAGAACTTATTCCCAATATATAGGAGACTAAAGTTCAGTGCACTTAAGTTAACTTTCTCAAGATTAAATTACGACTATTAAAAAATCTAGATTTACTTAGTCACTAAGACAATCCCCTGTACATTAAGCTGCACAGCTTTCTGTATCAAATGGTATTCCTATTGATATACTAAACAAAAGGCTCTAGAGTATAAATGACCGAACAATTATCTTTTTTAAATGTCTTTTTACCTTTTGACCACCTTCATCCATCACCTATTTCTCCCACCCCCAAACCTCCACCTCTGGCAACCACTGATCTGTTCTCTGTATCTATGAGCTTGTTGTTTTTTTCTTTTAAACGTTTCACATATAGGAGAGATCATACAGTGTTCATCTTTCTCTGTCTGACTTATTACACATAGCATAATGCCCTCGAGGTCCACCAATGTTGTTGCAAATGGCAAGGTTTCATTCTTTTTTATGACTGAATAATATTCCTGTGTGTGTGTGTGTGTGTGTGTGTGTGTGTACACTCCATCTTCTTTATCCATTCATCCATTGATGGACAGTTAGGTTGTTTTTATATCTTGGCCATTGTAAATAGTGCTGCAATGAACATGGTGGGGGAGTGCATTTTTAAGTTAGAGTTTTCATTTCGTGGGGAGTGGCCATGAATAAATGCCCAGAAGTAGAATTGCTGGATTGTATGATAATTCTATTTTTAATTTTTTAAGGAATCTCTGTGCTATTTTCCATAATGACTACACCAATTTATATACCCACTAATGGTGTACAAGCGTTCCCTTTTTACCACATCCTCACCAATACTTGTTATTTCTTGTTTTTTTGATAACAGCCGTTCTAGCAGGTGTGATATGATACCTCATTGTGGTTTTATTTAGCATTTCCTTGATGATTAATGATGTTGAGCATCTTTTCAGGTACCTGATGGCCTTCTGGTATGTGTTCTTTGGAAAGCTGTTTACTCATTTTCTGCCCATTTTTAATTAGATTGTTTTTATGTTTTGTTTTGTTTTTGATTGGTATGAATTCTTATATGTTTTATTTTTTAAAGATTAATTTATTTATTATAAGGAGGGAGAGCAAAGTGCGGGAGAGGGGCAGAGAAAGAGGGGGAGAGAGAATCCTCAAGTAGACTCCCTGCTGAGCACAGATACCAACTTGAAGCTCTATCCCAGGACCCTGAGTCATGACCTGAGCCAAAATCAAGAGTTGGATGCTTAACTGAGCCACCCAGGCGCCCCTTTATATATTTTAGATATCAATCTCTTATCAGTTATATGATTTGCAAATATTTTCTTCCAGTCAGTAGGCTGCCTTTCTATATTGTTGATGGTTGCCTTTGCTGTGCAGAAGCTTTTTAGGTTGCTGCAGTTCCATTTGTTTATTTTTGCTTTTTTTTGTTGCTTTTACTTTTGATGTCAGATTCAATAAATCATCTCCAAGACCTACAGCAAGGAGCTTACCACCTATGTTTTCTTTTAGGAGTTTTATGATTCCAGGTCTAACATTCAAGACTTTAATCCATTTTGAGTTAATTTTTGTTATGGTGTAAGATAGCAGTTGAGTTTTATTCTTTTGCATGTGGCTGTCCAGTTTTCCCAACATCATTTATTGAAGAGATTGTCTTTCCCCACTGTATATATTATTGGACCCTTTGCCATAAATTAATTGACCAAAATGTGTGGATTTATTTCAGGGCTCTCTATTCTGTTCTCTTGATTTATGTATCCATTTTTATGTTAATACCATACTTTAAAAATCACTTTGACTTTGTAATAGACTTTGAAATCAGGGAGCATGATGCTTCCAGCTTTGTTCTTCTTTCTCGAGATTGCTTTGGCTATTTGGGGTCTTTTGTGGTTCCATACAAATTTTAGGATTGTTCATTCTATTTCTGTAAAAAAATGCCATTGGAATTTTGATAAAGATAGCATTGAATCTGTACATTGCTTTGGAGAGTATATGCACCTTAATATGAATTATTCCAGTCCCTAAGTACAGAATATCTTTCTATTTATTTGTGTCTTCTTCAATTTCTTGCATTGATGTCTTATAGTTTTCAGTATGCATGTCTTTCACCTCCTTGGTTCAATTTATTCCTAGATATTTTATTCTTTTTGATATAATTGTAAAAGACTATTTTCTTAAGTTCTTGTTTTGCTAGTTCATTATTACAATCACAATATGGTGGTGAGGTCTCCAGGTTTTCTTTTAACTCCGTAAATCCTATATTGGCTGCTGGAGAAGTGCACCACTAGGGAAAGCCAGTTGGAGCTGGTGAAAGGAAAAGGAAAGAAAGGAACAAAAGGGGAAGGGAGAGGAAAGGGAAGGGGGGAGGGAAGGGAAGGAAGGAGAAGGCAGGAAGTCTGTTGTCTCTTGCCAAGCATGAGAAAAAGAGCAACCTAGCAAGATAGAAAACTTTCACACAAGAGCCACACTATCCCAGCCAAACACCATGAAAGAGCTCAGTCCCATCCACAGAAGTCTCTTCCCTTCTCTATCCTCCACACTCTGCCAGGACAGTATCATAGAAGAAGAATGGGTAGGGAGCCAGGACTTTTACACCTGCACTGTGCTAGGTCCCTGTTGATGGTATCAATGGCAGCTCCTTGGGGATCCTGGACATCCATCCCCACCATCAGCAATAGGGTGTCCCTCCCTCCTTACCAGAGTCCAAGGAGGCCAACTGAGAACGTGAAACTCTAATCACCATTCCCCCAGCTTTCAGGAGACTCCTAGCCTCCTTTGGTATCAGTGAAGAGGATATGGGGAGCAATAACAAAGTTTGCTTTCCCCCAGAGGTGTCAACCAAGGCCTAATGGGGAACCTGTACGGTACTTCCACAAGCACAGTGTAATAAGAGGTCTGCTAAAACACAAGATTTAAATAAGATCCAGGGGCACCTGGGTGGCTCAGTCAGCTGAGCACCCAACTTTTGATTTTGGCTTGGGTCATGGTCTCAGGGTCTTCAGATGGAGCCCCGAGTTGGTCTCTGCACTTGATGTGGAGTCTGCTTGTCCCTCTCCCTCCCCCCCTTGTGCTCTCTCTCTCAAATAAATAAAATCTTTTTTAAAAAAGAAAAATAAATAAATAAGATCCAGGGTCTCATAGTATAATACCCAAAATATTAAAGGTATAACCAAGAATCAGTTGCCATATCAAAAACCAAGAAAACCTACCTAATCAACATTTGTAGAACATACACATAATTTTCAAGTACCCATGGGACATTTACCAAAATATACTATAGACTAAGCCATAATTTAGCTTCAAAAACAATTTAAAGAATTTAAATCAGAGTGTGTCCTTTGACCATAATGGATCAAACTGTAAGTCAATAACAGAATGGTAACAAGAAAAACTCCAAGCACTTAAAAACTAAACAGTACATTCTAAATAATTCATGAGTCATAAAGGAAGTTTCAAGGGAAATAAAAAATACATTAAACAGGAAGATAATAAAGATACAACATATCAAAATTTGTGTACCTAACTAAAGAAGTGTTTACAGAAAAATCTGTAGCACTCAATGCTTATAATAGAAAAGAGGAAAAGTCCAAAATCAACAATCTAAGTCCCTCCCCTCAAAAACCTAGAAAAAAGAAGGCAAATTATATCCAAATCAAGAAGATGAAAGAAATCCTAAAGAGCAGAAATCAATGAACAAACTGAAAACAGGAGAACAATTTAAAGTATCAATGAAACAAAAACATGGTTCCTTGAAAAGACTAATAAAATTGACAAACCTTTAGAAATAGTGACAAAGAGAAACAAAAGAAAAGACATAAATCACCAGTATGATGAAGGACACAGGGGATATCCCTACAGACCCCACAGACAAAAAAAAATAATAAGGAAATGCTATGAACAATTCTACACACATAATTTGACAACTTAGATGGAATAGACTGAACTAAAAATTACAAACTATCCCAACTCACCTAATATGAAACAGATTATTTTAATAGCTTGCTAACTATCTGAAAATTAAATTTTTGGTATTAAAAACCCTGAAAAATAAATCTCCACTCTAGATGATTTCATTGAAAAACTCTACCACAGATTTTAAGAGAAATTAACACCAATTCTTCACAATCCCTTCAAGAAAATGGAAGAGGAACTCTTCCCAACTCATTTTATGAAGCCAGTGTTACCCTAACACCAAAACCTGACAACACCAGGAAAAAAAAAAAAACTACACTACAGCTCAATATCCCTCATAAATACAGATAAAAATATTTCTAATAAACTATTATTAATAAGATTCAGTAATATGTGAAAAGAATTATATATCATGATTACACGGGTTTTATTCTAAAGAGACAAGGCTGGCTCGAGATTCAAAAATCAATGTAATCCAAACAAAAAACAAAAAAAAATCAATGTAATCCACCATATTAAGAGGGCAAAGATCAATTTCATGATTATATCAAACTGTGGGGAAAAACTATTTGATAAAATCCAATACCCATTCATGATAAGGAAACAACTCTCAGAGAACTAAGAATAAAGAACTTCCTCAAACTGACAAAGAACAACTGTAAAAAAAAAACCTATAGCTATCTTTGTAATGGTGAAACACTGAATACTTCCCCCCTAAGATCAGAAACACCACAAGGGTATGTGCTCTCACCACTATTATTCAACATAGTACTGGAACTTCTAGCCAGAACAATATGACAGGAAAAGGAAATAAAAGGCATGCAGATTAAAAAGAAGGAGTAAATTATCCCTATTTAAAATGCCATGAAAATCCCAAGGAATAAAAAAAAAAAAAACTTTCCTAGAACTAATAAGTGAGTTCAGCAAGATCACATGAAACAAGATCTACATACAAAATTCTATTGTAAATTGATGTACCAGCAATAAGCATTTGGAAACCAAAATTACAAATATGATACCATTTTTAAAAATCAAACACTTAGGTATAAATCTAGTAAAATATGCATAGGACTTGAATGTTAAAAACTGTGGAGCACTGTTGAAAGAAATTGAAGATCTAAAAGAATGGATGGACATATTATGTTCATGGATTAGAAGAACTCAACAGAGTAAAGATGTCAATTCTCCCAAAATGTATATATGTGTTTAATGTAATTACTATTAATATCCAATCAAAATTTTTTTGTAGAAATAAGCAAAGTAATTCTAAAATTCCCATGCAGGGGGAATTGAAGATGGCAGCATAGGAAAACTGTGAACCCACCTCCGCCTACAGACATAACAAATTTACAACTACATATGGAATAATCTTCCTCTGAAAAGGACCTGACAACTAGATGAATAGCACCTCCACAGGAAAAAACAAAAGCAGTGCATCCAGAAGGGTATGAGAGGCAAAGACACTGTCTTACCCAGGACCCCACTCCAGATGCAGTGACCCCACAATCAAGTGGGATTCAAAAAAATATGAACTCTTTCTCAAGGAATGAAGAGATTGTGCCCAATATCAGGCACCCCAACCTTGGGGGCTGGCACCAAAAAGACAAGCCCCAAAATGTCTGGTTTTGAAAATCAATGGGGATTAAGAGCAAGAGAATCATAGAACTATAAAGAACAGGGATCCCGACCCTAAAGGGCTCCTACACAAACCCAGTCGCTGAGATCCAGTGAGAAAGCAACAGACTGAAAAGCACCTAGACTGTAAGTGAGGCAGACCCACTCACTACTTTGAAATCTACACGTGATAAAACAATACAGAGCTACACGCACACATTATAACAGTGTCAATTTTCTGGTTTTGATCTTCCTCGTCAGGTCACATAATGTGGAGAGGTGACTATCATACCAAGCCACTTGAAAATCACATGTGACAACAAAATATGTGAATGATCTCTGTCTCCTATTGCCACCAACTAATGTGGGACTCAGGAAATTGGGTGAAGGGTCCATAGGACCTCTCTGAACTCTCTTTGCAACTTCCTGTGAATCTGTAATTATTTCAAAATAAAAGTTTTTTGATAAGGACAATGAGACTCACCACAGCTCAAGACTTCTCTTTGAACTTGTTTGAACTTTGCCACCATCTTAGAGGAGAGATCATTGATAGAATTGATATCTAAGACATAAGCCACACAGTGAATCCTGTCCTTCAGTGATGGAGAGCTGATGCAGGTAGGATGATTGGGCGTAATTGGTTTATTGGGGCTCAACTGTTACAGAAACATAAGATAATATTTCAAATGTGACTACCACTAACCTCCAACCTGAAACTGTCCTCCCTCTAGCCACTCTTCCCCCAGGGTAATTAGTAGTACCCTTCCATACCTCCTCTCCACTATGAGTGTAATATTATATCTTTCTCTTTTTTTTTTGAAAGATTTTTTATTTATTTATTTGGCAGAGAGAGAGACAGCGAGAGAGGGAACACAAGCAGCGGGAGTGGGAGAGGGAGAAGCAGGCTTCCCACCAAGCAGGGAGCCCGATGCGAGGCTCAATCCCAGAACCCTGGGATCATGACCTGAGCCGAAGGCAGACGCTTAACCGACTGAGCCACCCAGGTGCCCCAATATTATATCTTTCTTATAGAAAAACCACTTCATTGCACCGGTGAAAATGAGAATTACACATATTTTACATTATCCATAATGGAAATATTTCAGGAAAGTACAATGTTTAAAAAGCTAATTTCAAATCCCAGTCTCCAGAAAAGAAAGAAAGAGAAAGAAACTACCAATGACATTGATTACACATCATTTAAGACTTCTCTCTAAACATTTTGTGTACTCAAATGGACTAATGGATAGAGGAAAAAGGAGAGGGGAAAATATATTGAAAATGCATTTTTAAACAAAATACTATAATTTCTTTAATTTCACAGAAGAAAAAGAAATGAAAATGAAACAGAAGAAATACCAAATTTTAAGTTAGTATCTCCTTACCACAAAACAATAATCTTTCTAGGATTGAGAAAATAGATTTAAAATACAGTAAAGGGGCGGGGGTGGGGGGAGGCACCTGGGTGGCTCAGTTGGTTAAGTGCCTGCCTTCGGCTCAGGTCATGATCTCAGGGTCTTGGGATCAAGTCCCGCATCGGGCTCCCTGCTCAGCGGGAAGCCTGCTTCTCCCTCTCCCTCTGCCTGCCTGTCACCCTGCTTGTGCACTCTCTTTCTGTCAAATAAATAAATAAAATCTCAAAAAATTAAAAATATAGTAAAGGGCTACATTCATTATTTTTTACCCATATGTTTCAATGTTGGACTGAATTGACTGCCTCTCTGTTGTGAAAAATGAAGGTTTTCATAGGCTCACGATTTCTCCCATCTCTCTGCTCTATTCCACCTCCCTGTATCTTATGTCTCCTTAGACTGTGAGGATAAGAATTGTGTTCTTAGTCAACTCTGTGTTTCCAGTAACTAGCAAAGTATCTGGCACAAATTAGGTTTTTAATCATGGCTTTTTAGTATTTGAGTACATAGTTAAGGTTTCCGATTAAGCACAACTGAGAGGCAATGGAAGTCACTGTTCAGAAATTGAGGCTGATTGTATTATACCCAATGCCTAAAAGAAAGGGAATAATAATGGTTGACCTTCTGAGAATGTAAAGTACATCATCTCGTTTATCTTCTCAGGTGCCCTATGAAATGGGCATTATTATTACCTACATTTCACACATAAAAAAGGAAGACTTACGGAGACAAGTATGTTACTTGCTTACAGGTGCACATCTAGCTAGTGGCAGAGCCAACCTTTGGATGTAGGTATTTAGGTAGCATTTAAGTAGTGAAACCTAAGTACTTACAGTATAATAATATCACACTTCAACAAAAAGTGGTTAATTGTTCCAAGATTTTGTCTAATTGATCAAAAAAGTACATGAGATTGAACTATTACTTTCCTATCTATTTTATAATAAAGAGTGAAATAAACACAATCCCCTCCTGTCCTTTTTCTGGGATCTGTATGAGTAAAATACTGCCTTTTGGCTGTATTTCTTTTCTTTTCTTTCTTTGTTTCTTTTTTTTTTTCTTTTGAGATCACCTTATTTTTTTGAAGTTATCTCCACACCCAGTGTGGCGCTCAAACTCATGACCCTGAGTTCAAGAATCACACATTCTACCGACTGAGCCAGCCAGGCACCCCAGGCTTTTTCTTAATGCTGTAGAAAATAAGTTACTCTACTTTACTTATATGAATACTTATTCATTTAAAGCAGAGTAGTGTTGGTTGATGTTGAAAACACCTTATGACAGTTGAAACTGCCTTATGGGGTAAAAACTTAACAAAAATAATTGATGAAACTGATTTTAAATGTTTTAGAGATTGGAGAATTCTTACCTGATTATCTGTCTGGCACACAGCCTTTTAAGATGTAGGGTATGTCATCCACACACAAGCCTACTCCTTCTTTCTCATGTAGCCCCATGGAGTCACACAACCTAAATGGCAGATATTTGCCATCTTTCCCATCTTTAATAGGATATATCCTATACTATAAAACAAAGTATATCAAAGGTAAAAATTCATTCTTCAACTAGCATTCAAGACATGACAAAAGGAAGAACAGAAAGTGGCTAATATTTTAACACTGTGGTCCTCAAATATTTTGGTCTCAGTATCACCTGATATTCTTAAAATTATTGAGAATCTCAAAGATATTTTATGTATGTAGGTTATATCTATTGATATTTAACATACTAAAAATTTTTTTAAAAAATTTAAATATTTCTTAAATCATTTTAAAATACAATTATGAATCTATTGCAATGTTAACCTAAAGGACATTTTTATGAAAAAATTATTTCCAAAAAAAATATTAAAAAGAACAGGATCAATTTACTTTTTTGCAATTCTCTTTACTATCTGGATTAATAGAAGATGGCAGGATTCTCATATCTGCCTCTGAATTCAATCTGTTGTGATATATCATTTTGGTTGAAGTGTATGAAGAAAATCTAGCCTCACATATATATAGTAGTAGGAAAAGGAGAGAGTATTTAATTTAACAGCTTTCAGAGAATTGTGGATATTCCTCATTAATAATGTATCAAAGCTCAATAAATGATAATTTCTCCAAAGATTAGCTAGGATCTGTGACATTTTCATACTCAGCTACATTAAATTCATTGATCTATCTTATGCTTTGAATATATTTTTTATCCATGCATGACTTACAAACCCAATGCATTTGGTCATTTGAAAATATTGGATCTAGATAAGATCTTCCAAATATTGGTACATTTCACCACACAATATTAAAACATATTTGTTACTAGCACCATTAATCTCATCAGGTAAGTTTTTAAGTATTGAGAAGTTATGAAGCTCAAAGTGGTGGATCCAAGTTTCCCAAAGTTCTAATTTTTGTTTTCTTAAAAGCTCAGATGTTATCATTGGCAACAAACATTGCTGGTTCGTTGTTTTTCTTGTAGTGATATGCTCATTTTGTGCATTGTCCATAAATGTCTACCGAATACCTAAGTATGAATAATCAAGTCTGTCAATTGTCTTCTCATTTATAAAGGATGTTACATGAAAAAAGTTCAGCTCACAACTCAATCGCACCAGTGTCTTTTCTTGACAACCACCATATCTTGATATACCTTAAAAAATCCTTTGTATTTCCCATTTCATCACACAAAAATATATATAAAATAATAAAAAGTTGAGTTTAAATAAAATCAATGGTGTTACTTAGTCATCAATTACATTCTTAAATGAAACTAGCATTTTTTTTACTGCAAGTACTAGGAACGTATATAGCGATTACTAATAGAGCTTGGTGCCATTGCTTGATTCATGCTAAGGTACCACCCAACAAATAAAACTACATGTGTATGATCAGTTCAAATGCCAATACTCTAGAAAAAGCAAAGCCATCTAAGCATTATTACACAAATAATTTTAAACTCATAGATCCCCTAAAATGCCCTCAGGGACTCTTGGGGGTCTACAAACCTCACTTTGAGAAGCTCCACTTTTTTTCAGAACTCTGAAAATTTTTTATTGGTCAAATATACTTCCACAGAGGCATAACTATGGAACACTTAGGAAGATTCACAAAGAGAAGTACTTCTCAGTGATACCAGACAACACTTGAATCACAAATCTCCCATTCCACACTAGGCAGTTGAGAACCCCTCTACGACCTATTGTAATCTGTACTGGAGTCAAAAGTTCCCACTGGTCCATAAGTCCAATGCCCAGGAGCAATCCCATTAGATATTTTGATCTAAATGAACAGGACTTACTGGTGCCTCCACCTGAAAGGACTTACACTGAAGCAGTAGAGTTACACACTTAAAGTGCACTGTAAAATTTCAAGATCAATAGGCACATTCATAGTTTTTATTAATCTGTTTACTTCATAAATTTAATTCTTCAGGGGTGCCTGGGTGGCTCAGTCAGTTAAGCATCTGCCTTTGGCTCAGGTCCTGAATCCACGGTCCTGGGATCGAGCCCCAAGCCCCACGTCGGGCTCCCTGCTCAGCGGGGGAGCCTGCTTCTCCCTCTCCCTCTGCCACTCCCCCTGTTTGTGCTCTCTTTCTCTGTCAAATAAATAAATAAAATCTTTTTTAAAAAAATTTAATTCTTCAAAGAGAAGGGTCTCTGAGAAATGAAATAAAATACTGTTTCTCTGACAAATATTCTGTCTTGTATTCCTTCAGTTTATATAGTAGTATTTGCATTTCATTTGGACTTAAGGATCTACATCTTCTCTTAGAGCAATGCCTTTGGAGCTTTCAACATGAAAAGGAGGGAGACAGAGCCTGTCCTGATGAGTACCTCCATTACAGCACCTATCACATTGAATAGTACTTATTTGTTTATTACCTACACTGAAATCCTTGAGTAAAAAGACCAGCTCTCATTTGTATTTAGGTCTTTATTGCCAACACAATCTTTCACAAATAGAAACATTTCAATCAATGCTTAGTGTTTTGAAGTGCCATTGTGGTACCTTGCTTTGGCTTCTGAGACTAGGCTAATATACCAAAATAAAGTCAGTCAAATAGATAGAATCTAGCCAACATCAAGAAATAAGATGTGATTCTTGAAAGTCTTAGAAAATGCTTTCAGTTATTAAATGTGACACAAAACTAAAATGAACCATTACTGTCTTATGCTAAATTTTGCATTGACAGTGCACGCATATTTCCAATCAGAAGATAACAATATTTGCTTGTAGCAATCACAGAAAAATACAGCTTGATGATGAAATGTTCTATTCATTCCCCTTAATTTTTTTATTTGATTGTGTAACATTGACAAGCATAGAAGGGATGAAAGTTTTTACACAGTAATTTGTAGATCTAGAGTAACAGTTTTAAAAATGGTATTAGTACTTACATTTGTTTACAAATAAGATAGTGTTTGTAGGACCACTGATAAATTTACCCTTTGAAGGTTGACCCACCAAAGTGAATTGCTGTCTTGCTTTTCACAATCATTTCTTATAAAATGGTCTTGTAAAATGGAAAAGTGTTATAATACATAATTTTCATTATTTTATTACAAAAAAAAAAGAAAAGAATTTCAATCCAGGTAAAAGCATGTGGGACATAAGTAAAAACAGACTTCTAATATAATGGACAAAGATTTCCACAAAATTTTTAAAATTTTAGTGCTGTTTTGTTTTTTTTTTTACAAGTACCAAAAAGCATTCTTCATATAACTGCTTCTTGCACGCATAAAAATGGAAAGTGAAACACAACTCAACGGAGGGAATTCTGAATCAAATTTTACTCCTTTTTTACATTTGATTTAGCATTTAATTGCTTGTAGATCAGGAGGAGGTTAATGTTCTAAGAGAAAATGGCAAAGAAATGAACAAACCTGATCATTGTAATTGATAAAACAAAATCCTCAGGAAATCTTTAAATAACTTACCTGTCCAGTAATGCTGGTGACATCAGACGTCACTGTGGCTTGGTGAGTCACCTGGCCTCGGAAAACAGACTTCACTGAATTGATAAAACTAGACTTTCCAGACCCAGATGGACCCAGCAAGAGAATACGAACTTCTGAAATAAAGTCTACACAGGGCTTGTAGGCTCTGAGTTCGGCTAGAAGTGGATTTCTGTGCCTGTCAAATAACATGCAGTAGATACTTGACAAGAGCCAAACTTCCATAGGAACAGTATGATTCTGCTGCTTCTTTCCTTCCCTTTAAAAGTATGTTTTAATTACTTATTATCTTGGCATTAACATCTATCATATGATTTGAAATGGTCTAAGGTTATGCATTTTGTGCTTGAAGAAAATGCATTTATCTATATCCGAATAAAGAAACATTAACCAGCAACCAAATCATTGTTAAACTATGAGCCTTAGACCACACAAATCTAACAAATAGCAGTAACAATGAAGATGAGTATTATTTCAGTAATAATATTATATTAAGGAGAAATAAAATATATGCAAAACAGCTATTTATCTATAAATTGGGGAAAGGGGGCTTTGTTTTTAAAACTTACTGAAATTCCCCCAAAAACTTTATTCCTAGGGAAAGGCTTTGGACAAATTATCTGAAATAGTCGTCTAGACTTTTCTGTCTGGAAAACTTTGAATCTAGCAAGTCCAAAGAGAAACATAAAGCCAAACTATTGCCTGGTAGATTTTTAAAGGTTCACAGTTGGTAGTGATTTTGTCTCTGTTGTTGCCATAATTGCCTCGAAGGTATTACATAAGTAACATTATAACTCATTTTTATCACTCCAAGTTATATGATTTTTATTTTACTATTTCATTTCCAATGCCATTTATAGAAGTGTTCTAAATAAAATGAGTAATAGATAGTCCAAGAACCTAACTTACTTCGTGGCTCTTGTTATCTGGCTTATGTAGTTCATATCATCCTCAATTCCTATAGGAAATAAACATAGCATAATAAGTTTTTTAACTTGCCTGGCTAAATATGCCCAAGTCTACCTTCTAAATGAGGCAAAGAGTCTGCTTATATAAACCAGGGCTGAGCTGTCCAGTTGGGAGTTAGGGTTGGCAACATCATGCGAAGAGAAGGGAAAATTAACCTCCCTGCACAGTAACTCGCTCTGGAAACTCTCATATAACTAGGCCTACAGATCCTAGAGCTGACCCAAAAGGGGTCATTGTGCCAACATAAACCCCACCCTCACTGGCTCTCCCTCTCCATGTCTCCACTTCTCCTCAACCTATTTTGTTCAAAGCTGCCTATACTTTCTGAGTAATACCTCATAACTTTTATGCTTCCTAGGTTTCATTTTGAAGTTTATGAAAGGGAAATTTGATGGCATGAAATCTGATGTTCCTCTCATTTTTCCTTGTTCTTGCAACTAAATTGTGACCACAAACACAAAGAAAGACTAGAATCAGAATGTAGGATTATCTAATTTAACATACTTTCAACTCAAAAAACTTCACATTCCAAATACTTGATGTCAAACGGGATATATACTCCTAAAGCTTTGCTTAATGAAGCATCCTAGAAAGTCTGGTTTTGCCTGGATCTACAGACAACATCTCTTGGCTAAAGGAATAAAATACCAGTTATCCAGAAGCAATTTTTGTTTCTGTTTCTAAAACTGCAGTTGTCATTTCAGTTGCATTATTCTTTTGAAATGAAAAACAGAAGGAGGGATCGGGCCTTTTTAAATAGTCAGACATTGGGCGCCTGGGTGGCTCAGTTGGTTAAGCGACTGCCTTCGGCTCAGGTCATGATCCTGGAGTCCCGGGATCGAGTCCCGCATCGGGCTCCCTGCTCGGCAGGGAGTCTGCTTCTCCCTCTGCCCCTCCCCCCTCTCATGCTCTCTCTATCTCATTCTCTCTCTCAAATAAATAAATAAAATCTTGAAAAAAAAAATAAATAAATAAAATAAATAAATAGTCAGACATTTCAGGATAATGCCCAAGCATAAAGACCACAAAAGTAGTCTTTATATTAAAGTAAATTATTGTTGCAGTAGGTCCCTGACAAGTGCACCTATCAAGCATACCAGAAATGTTACTGTCATGGACACTAGACTTATAAAGAAGTCTCAAGGACACATTCCCAAGCATCTTCTGCAGACTTTTCTCCTCACTCCATGTCAATCTGGTTGTCACTGCCATTGTTCTGTATCTGATAGAAAAACAATAATAGATTGAGAGGCTAGTTAGTATATAATAGTGGTTTAAAGCACAGATTTCTGCTTCTAGCTTTAGCATGTTATTTTTTTTTCCTCTGGCCCAATTAAAACATGTTATTTGTTTATACACAAAGTATATATATATATATATTTATACACAAAGTAAATTTATATATATATAAATTGAACAATAGTAGGTACCTATAAAAAATAGATAATTTAGAAATAGAAAATACCATTACATTTTTTAAAGTCAGTAGACAAAGTAAATGGAAGCCTAGGTAAAGAATAAAGTAAAATTAATAAATCAGAACAGCGATCAGCAAACTTTTTTCTTAATGACAGAGAGTAAATATTTTAGGCTTTGTGGGCCATATGGTCCCTGCCGTAATTACGCAACTTTGCCAATGTGACACAAAAACGGAGACAATATATGAACAAATGGGCATGACTGTGTTCCAATAAAGCCTTTTTTATCAAAACAGGTTGATGTCACACAGACCATAGTGGGCCAACCCATGAATTAGAAGGTAGGAGAAAGGAATTTATACAGAAAATGGTTCCCAAAGAAAGAAACTGATATATGAAAGGAGTTAACAGACATTGAGGTCCTACAGCAGCAGAATAATCCATGAGCCATCATGCCAATTCTTTCAATGAGAAAAATGAGAACACAGGGTGCACTGTAAATACATGTATTTGAAAGCATTGGAGGGCTAAGATTTGGAAAAGAAATGAACACTGAGAGGTAAGCTTGGCATTTGGGAGCACATTTCTCTGAGGAACATCTGTTAGCTTTAGAAGAGGTGCCAGAGATGCTGAGATATTGAGCAAAACTTTTGCTGGACTCCCAGAGCTAGGGGAATAGAGTGCAGCAAAGAGGATGCCTTGGCAACCCTCCTCTAAGGCCGTGGGCAAGGAAAGAGAGAGAGTTAGCAAGCCAGAAAGAGAACACAGCTGGGGGGAGAAGCAGAGGGGGAGAGAGAAGCAGATCCCCCGCTCACTGAGCAGGGAGCCTGACAACTTGGGGGGTGGGGGTGGGAGGGCTCAATCCCAGGACTCCAGGATCTTGAGTTGAGCTGAAGGCAGTCACTTAACTGACTGAGCCACCAAGGCGCCCCCGTGGGCAAGGATTCTGAAGAGCTACAGGGAAGAAGGAAGGGTGGACTGGAAATGGACAGACTTAACTCCATCTCCTAAGTAATTTCAGTCTATGATTGGGTTAGTATAAATGAAGTTTGCTTTTGCCCCCAGCTGCATGGCAGATGCAAAACAGATCTTGTTTAGACGAAGAGAACATCTTTCTAGGTTCAATTTTTTTTATATTCAGTGACTCATATTCATCATAAACACAAGAGAGGAAATGAAACAAAAGGATAGAAAACCAAGAGAAAAAGCAGAACACAGAAATAAACCATACTGTTTATTCATTTGTTTTGTTTTTTAGATTCCACATGTAAGAGAAATCAGATGGCATTTTTCTTTCTGACTTATTTCACTTATCATAATCCCCTCGAGATCCATCCATGTTGTCCCAAATGGCAAGATCTCATCCTTTTTTATGGCTGAGTAATATTACTCTGTGTGTGTGTGTGTGTGTGTGTATATATCTCACATCTAATGGAAAAACTGTCTCTAATGGAAAAGCAGTCAAAGTATATGAAGAAGACATTCACAGACGAGGTAACTCAAATGAATTATAAACATACAAAAAATGTTCAATTCTAGAAACAGAGAACTGTAAATTAAAGAATGAGATATCATTTCACATCAAACAAAAGTCCAGCAATACCAAGTTGACCCGGATATGGAGATTCAATAATATTCACATTATTTTGAGACACACATCATTTTGGGGAACAAGTACATTCATAGCAGCACTGTTTAGGATGACATTAGAAGATTGCATGTACAAATTTTGGCATATTCACACAATGAAATACTAAAGAGCACTGAAGTGACTGAACTAGACCTATTTGTATCAACATTGATAAAGCTCAAAAAATTAATCTTGAGTGGAAAAAAGCAAGTTGAGAATGATACACCTAGTATGATATTATTTAAATAAACTGTTGGGGCACCTGGGTGGCTCAGTCATTAAGCATCTGCCTTCAGCTCAGGTCATGGTCCCAGGGTCCTGGGATCGAGCCCCACATCGGGCTC